GTTTCTTGGGGACTGGTTATGGTGAGGATATGGAATAAGCCCAGCACAGACGCCAAGAAGTGTGAAAGGTTCAATCTCCAAGTGTGTGGAGAGCCAGGAGCCCTGAGGCATCCCACAGAGCACATTAGCTGTGTTGTCCAAGGCCGAGGAGGGCTCCACATGTGAGTGCCATCATGCTCCCCTTATGTGTATGGAGAGCTGGGGGGACAGGGAGCCCAGGGACCATGCGCCTGGGCCTTGTCCACCATGGAGCAGCAGCTGGGTGTCTTGCAGGAGCCCTGGCCTGTTCCCCACACGCTGACCTCGCCTTGCAGAGGGGGGCTGGGTTTCACCCACTGTGTCCCCAGGGAGAACTGACCACTGCTCTTGTTTCACCACAGCCTTATGTGTATGGAGAGCTGGGGGGACAGGGAGCCCAGGGACCATGCGCCTGGGCCTTGTCCACCATGGAGCAGCAGCTGGGTGTCTTGCAGGAGCCCTGGCCTGTTCCCCACACGCTGACCTCGCCTTGCAGAGGGGGGCTGGGTTTCACCCACTGTGTCCCCAGGGAGAACTGACCACTGCTCTTGTTTCACCACAGCTGCAGCACCTGGGATTGCAGGGCGCACCACCCCACCTGCAACAGCCACCTGCACCCAGGCCAGCAGGCGCACCAGGAACCTGGAGGACTACCAGCGGTGGCACCTGTGGCTATTGGAGCACCAGCTCCACACCCAGGAGCACTGGGTCTGGGAGGATGTGCGGCTGCGGCAGCAGAGCTTGAAGGTGCTGGAGGAGCAGGGCCGTGCCATCTGCAGACCTTGTTGGACAGGTTTACATTGGACAACACATTGCCAGCGAGCCTCGTTCTGGGTGGCAATTCAGTTGCACCACTCCCACCTCCTCCTACTTCTCCTATGCCCCAGGTGACCGCCTCTGCTCCCATGCTTGCGGCACCCCTAACACTCCCTGCTTGCCCGGCTGCCGTATGCACCTCATCTGAGGCCGCCGAGCCCTTGGGGTGATGGACAGTGCTGAGTGGCCGGGCCCTGGACTTATGGGTGCCCCCTCCCTCCCTGTTGGGGGCCCAGCAATCACCTAAATGATGCTGTGGCTCCAGCCAAAAGTTGTTTGTTTATTTATTTGGTGTTTTTATATTACATTAGGAAGGGGGGTTAGGGAGGGGAAAGGGGAAGGAGGGGAGGGTGGAAAAAGGCCCCAGTGGGGCATGCAGGGAGAGTTCAGTCCTCCTCCACCTGGAAGCTCTCCCGCAGGGCTTCCCAGATCTGAACGGCCTCCCGCTGGGCCTCCCGGACAGCAGTGGTGTGGGGCTGCATGTACTGGCCAGCCATGCGCTCAGCCTCAGCCATCCAGGCTGGCAGGAAAGTCTCTCCCTTCCTTTCACATACATTGTGCTGCACACAACATGCTGCCACCACAGAAGGGATATTGTGCTCGGCGAGGTCAAGGCGGGTGAGGAGGCATCCGTCTTCATGACGTCAGATGCGTCCCTCATAGGACGGGGCACCCATCTACGACATCACACAGCGCAGGGTTTCTGGTCCAGCAGTGACAAGAACCTACACATAACCATCCTAGAACTCTGTGCAAGAAATTCCTCCTGTATATCATCAACAATCATGTTAGACTGTACATAGACAATGTTGCAGCAATGTTTTATATAAATTGTCAAGGTGGGGCCCGATCTCAAGCCCTATGCACAGAATTGATTGCTCTTTGGAAATGGTGCCTAAAATACAGCACAAACATTACTGTGGTGCACCTTCCGGGCACCTTAAATACGATGACTAATGCTCTCAGAGAGCCCTCCTCCCAAATGAGCATGAGTGGCAATTAAATCTGCACGTCTTGTTGCGGATTTTTCGACAGTAGGGTCACTCCACCATAGACTTATTTGCCACTTTATCCAACAGAAAATGTCACCTATTGTGCACAAGGGCAAGCATTGGGAAAAGCTCTGTGGGAGACGCCTTCCTCATCAGCTGGTCATCCCATCTCCTGTACGCCTATCCCCCCCATACCTCTGATGAACAAGACAAAGAGGGACAAAGCACACTTAATTGTCATAGCTCCATCGTGGCCATGTCAAGCCTGGCTCCCCTTTCTAATAAGGATGTCCCGCATGCCACTTATTTCCTTACCACACAACCATGATCTCCTCTTTCACCCAGAACCACACGCTACCCAACAAACCCCTGACTCGCTACACCTGAAAGCTTGGCTTCTTGATGGTTCTCTGAACTACAATTGAACTGTTCACAACAGGTGCAAAAAGTCCTACTACACAGTGGTGTGCAGTGCACCCATAAGACTTACCTTCATAAATGGAAAAGATTTGCCATATGGTGGGTAGATCACCACCCTCAAAATCCTCCTTATCTGTTGTTGTGTGGTTTGATTCATTTTAGATCCAAGGGAAACTATGACACTCCAGAGAGACTTAACCACTTTCTTACTTATTACAAGCTTTAAGCAGTTAATACAGTTGTTTAAGTTTTACTGGCCTTAAAAACAATTACTATACAATTTAAACCTTAAATACTATAAATTCTAAAGCAATTAATATGAGGCAAAGCAATGTAAAAGCAATTATTAGAAGATCTACTATAAGACAATAATAAAGCCTAGTTCACTTACACTTCACCCGTATGGTACTTACAGTACCAGGCAGAAGGTCATGGTTCCTTTGATTCCCACCCTTCGGAACGCCATGCACTGATGTATCTGGTGTGAAGGGCCTATTTACTTCTAGTTACATCGAGCAGGACCTGTGGGTCAATCCTGCTCCCTCCCTCCCATCAATTCTTCTTACCAAGCGCATTTTATAGCAAAGTGAGTCTTGGGCATTCTAATAATATTTACCAATTAATTATGTATTGTATAAGATACCTACAGTGCCCTGTGCGCAGTACACCCTGTTACTCAGGATGCTGCAAAAACGATGTGAGTTGTTAACAGTTTTACCTATCTCATAGAGCTGGAAGGGACCTTGAGAGGTCATTGAGTCCAGTCCCCTGCCCTCACAGCAGGACCAAGTACCATCACTGATAGATTTGCCCTAAATCCCTAAATGGCCCCCTCAACAATTTTGCTCACAACCCTGGGTTTAGCAGGCCAATGCTCAAACCACTGAACTCTCCCTCCACCACTGAACTCTCCCTCCACCACATCTTGAAGAATGTCAGTTTGGCTATGTCGTGGCTTCTTGCGCAAGAACATCTTGCTCAAAGGTTATCGTGCAAGAAGTCTTGCGCAAGAAAACGTCCACACTGCCATGTGCGGCTGTGCTTTTGCACAAGAGTTCCCAGGGCAATGTGGACGCTCTCTTGCGCAAGAAAGCTCCAATGGCCATTTTTGCCACAGGGCTTTCTTGCTTAAGGAATCCCTGCCAAGAGTCCACACTGCCCTCTTGCGCAACAGCTCCTGTGCAAGAGGGCTTACACCTGTTAAAAAAGAGCATAGTTCTTGCGCAAGAAGCCCTCTCTTACCACGCCGTACTGTAAATTTCCTTGCGCAAGAGCGGGCGGGCAGTGTAGACGCTCTGTGGATTCTTGCGCAGGAATGGCCGTACTTGCGCAAGAAGCCACAAGTGTTGACATAGCCTTACTGTCCAGGTGAGTAACCTCCTCTTCGTACAGGTACTGTCATATCACGTCTCCCCGGAGGGGGCACTCAGGGTGTAAGGGTTACAGTGTGCAGGACCTATGGGCAAAGGAGTTTGCGGGGTACAGGAATCTGGGCAGGGAGCTGGGGTGGGAAGTTAGAGTAGGGAGCGGAGGGTGTGGAGGGCTCAGGGCAGGATGTTTGGGAGGTTCAGAAATAAGGGGTGGGTGTTGAGAATGGGGGCTCGTCAGGGGAATGTTGGGGGTGCAGGAATCAGGCAGGGTTTGGAGCTGAGGTTGGGGGGGTCAGGGCAGGCGGCTGGGTGCTGTATGGGTAAGTGAAGGGTGTCATTTTGGAAGGGTGGCAGAAGGCAGCTGCACATACTGGATTGCTGCTGCTCTTCCTCTTTCCCGACCATCAGGGAGCAAGGGGAAGTGTGCAGCTTGTGTGGAATCTCCTCTGCTCCTCCCCTGGGCAGCCAGGAGTGAGAAGAAGGCTCCCAAGCTGCACACTTTCCCCTCACTCTTTGATAGTCAAGGGAAGGGAAGAGCAACAAAATTCTGGGTACATAGGGTTGCAACCCTCCACTTTTCCTCAACGGAGTGGGGCAGAGGTGGAAGCTTTAGGGGATGGGGCAGTCCTGGAGGAGAGGGGAATGGGAGGGGCAAGGCAGCCTCTGGGAGAGCCCTAGGAACTTGGCTAGGAGCAGCTACAGCTGAGTGCCCAGCCTGCAGGCTTCTTTTTGCTGGAGTGCAACATGGCCACATTGGGGCACACTGGTTTTCACCTCTGTATTTGGGCTGCCCAGTGCCATGAACCTGTCTGCATAGCGTGTCCTGCGTGCCCCTGGCCAGATCTTTTCAACGATTCCAGCTTCTTGCTTTTCATCCTTACTGTTGTATTGTTCTTGAACAAGGGAGAGGGCTAAGCCTTGCTCTAGCTCTACAAGTAAAATTGGGGCAACCTGGTACCTCACAGGCAGGAAGACGCCTGCTTGCCAGGCCAGGTGAAAGTGCTCATGGGTCCATGATTTTACTTTGGCCAAAAATGCTTGGGACTGAATGGTGAGCATCAGTATTCGCTGCCAGAAGCGCCATTGTCTCTACCAGCCCAGCTACACACGAGCAGACCGAAGCCTTCCAAGGAACGTGAGCGGTGGAAGCAGCCACCAACCAAGGGCTGCCCCCGTGCTCCGCCCGCTCCCGGGGCCAGCGAGCACCACGAGACAGGGCGCGTGGGCTAAGCGCGCAGCCCAGGTAGCCAGGAGCCATCCCCAGCCCCTCCCACTCCCGGCCCGCACCTCCCACCCGGTCTGCACTCCCGCCTGATGGGAGACTCCGCCCCCGGGGGGCGATTGACGGACGGGACGTGGGTCCAATAGGACGCCGGCCACGTGCGCAAAGTAACCAATGCGGGTCGGTGGGCGTGGGCAGGGGCGCCGCGAGAGGCTGGTTGTACGCGCTGAGGAGCCGTTACCCTCTTGCTGCCCAGGGCCTGCTGGCGCTGCCGACAGGTGAGGCCCGGCCGGGCCCCGTCTCCTGGCGGGGGGAGGAGCGGGCCGCGCTGGGGCCGGGAGCGAGGCTGTGGCCGGGGCTTGCGGGCAGGCCTGGGGCCTGTGTGTGTGGAGAGCAGCGGCGCCGCGGCCTGCAGGGGGAGGCCGGGCCTGTGCGGGGGGAGGGGCGGAGGCAGGCCCGTTGGACGGGGCGACCCTGGTTCCTCAGAGCGGGGGAGGGGGAGGGAGCGGAGCCCGCTCGCCCGCCCCGCGCGCTCCTGCGTTTAAATCTCCCACTGGCTGGCGCGCGGGGATCCGGCGGGCGCGAGCCTCCCCGCTCTGAGCGAGCTGAGCCCGCGGCGGGGCTGGTGCCGCACGGGGGGGCTTCCGCGGCGTGAGCGAGAGGCGATGGATCACCTGCGGGTGCACAGCCGGGCGAGGGGACGCCCACGTCTGGGGGCGGCGTGTGCGGGGATCGGGCGGGGGGGGTGCTGGGAGGCAAGCAAGGGGATGTGTCAGGGCCACTTGGCTGGCGCAGTGGTAGAGACGCAGCCGGGTTAGTCTGGGGCAGCTGAAACACAACACAGGACAGTGCAGCACTTGAAAGACGAACAAGCTGGTTTATTAGACGATGAGGTTTCGTGGGCCAGACCCACTTGCTCAGATCTGAGGGGTCTGGCCCACGAAAGCTCATCACCTAATAAACCATCTTGTTCGTCTTTCAAGTGCTGCACAGTCCTGTATTTTGATTGGTACAGGCAGGCCCCGGGTTACGCACAAGATAGGGACTGTAGGTTTGTTCTTAAGTTGAATTTGTATGTAAGTCGGAACTGGTACATATTGTAGGGGAAACTCTAGCCAAACATTTCTCCAGAGCTCAGTTTTATTCTCCCACACCTCACTTCCCTCAGGCCTTTATTCTCAAGCGGAGGTGTCAGCTGAGAAAAGCCGCTCCGCGTCTCCCTGGTCTGCTGGGGGGGGGGGGGGTGCTAGCTTCGCTTCTCCCTAGTCTGCTGGGGGGAAGCAGCTAGTGCGGGGTTGCCTCACCCCGTTTGTAAGTAGGGATCCGATGTAAGTCGGATCCATGTAACCTGGGGACTGCCTGTATATATGTTGGGGAGGGTGTCTTTTGTGCACTGGTAGAAGTACATGTGACAACGTGTTGGGTTGTGGAGGTGTTGATATGGTGGGTATGGAGGAAGAGGATGGGTCATCTAGAAGGGTTCTCTGGTTGCTTTTGATGTGGTTGATGACTTAGTCCTCTTGATATTTCTCTGTCTTCAATATTTTGCACATGGATGCTGTATTTATTGAATAGACAGGGTGCTGTACAAATAGAGTTGCTGACAACTCCATTTCCTTTGAACAATTTTCCATACCTCTTTTTCAGTTTGCTACTGTTCTTTAGTTCTTTTTTGTTGTTTCTGTATACTTTCTTCTTTCTGACTTCGTTGCCATCTAAAAATTCGTTATTGTCCCTGAATACTCATGACACTTCCATACTCCCTGTGCATTTCAATTTATTTAGTTAATGTTGATATCTTTAGTGTCCAGCCATATGCATCTTGCATTCCATAATGAGGGATGTACTGTAACTATTTACTGATAAAAAGCTTCAGAGGGGTAGCAGAGTTAGTCTGTAACTGGAAAAACTTTAAAAACAACAAGTAGTCTTGCAGCACCTTAGTAACTAGGGTTTTTTTTCTAGTTACTGATAAGAAGACCTAATCTTTTCTAATTTTTTTTTCCTGGTTCCCATTGATAACTTCACTTTCTTGTGTCCCTGTTGGTAATCTTGCTGTGACCTTTAATTCTTCTTTGCCCCATATTAAGTGTGTTGTGCAAACACCTGATGCTTCTTTGTTCAAAATGTGTCCTGTATTGACTGCTAAAATCCTTATCCATATCCTGGTTGCTTTCTGGCTTTATTAGAGTAATCGCTTGTCTGACCTCTCTTTCTCTCTCTCTCTGTTTGTAAAGCTGCTGCCAAAATCATCTTTCTTTTTTCTTGTGACTTAATGTTACTGGGATCCTCCTTTGGCTTCCTGTCTATGAATATATAAAATCAGCACAATACTCATAGAAAGTCCTACATAAACTTTAACCCCTACCCTCTCTGTCTCATCTCTTCTTATTCATTTTCTGCTTCTTATCTTTTTGTCTTCTTCAAACCTTTGTTGTCTTTCCTCAATCCTAGATTTGTGTCTTCTGTCCCTTTCTGTGGTTGGAACAGCTTATTGTCATCTGCCTGAAGCTCACTCTTTCTTTAAAATTTGCCTCTCTAAGCAGTCTGAGGAACCTTCACTCTGTCGTCTTGTTTTTGATTCTTATGTTCTTGTGAGAACTTCAGAGCAGAGATGTAATGGTTCTATCAGACTTCTGATTTTCACGGGCCTGTACTTTCTGAAGCCCAGAGCACTTACTTACTAGCTCAGGGCTAGTCTACAGTTGAAAGTTTATGGTAATAGCTATTCTGGATTAATTACCCTGCAATAGTTATATTGGTATGAGCCCTATGTAGGCACTCTTACTTTAGAATAAGTTCCCACATTGGCGCTTATATTGGAAACAGCCATTCCAGGATAGCTATTTAGGTAATGTTCCAAGTGTAAACAAGACATAATAATACAGAATACTGTGAAGCTTTCTTTAATTTGTGAGGGTTTTAGGGACATTAATTATCCTGCTCTATACAATATACATTTTTAAAATCCCTTTTTTCAGAAATACATCAAGGTGTTTCCAGCTTTTTTTATCTTTGCAGTTGCACAACCTTGGCACCTTGAAATCCCAGACTGCTGACCACAATGCTCACACATATTGTGTGATTGAAATATTGGTGATAAATAACTATTTTTAAACTTATTGTTTGTAACTCACTAACTATGCTGAGCCCTATAGGTTTCTAACAAGAAGAAGAAAAGTTAAAACTCCTTCCTCTCCTTGTGCAAGACCATTATGGAGTCAGTCTTACTCCTCAGGTACTCCCCATAGTTGATAATCTTCAGAATGTTTGATTCACAGGCATTTCCAGTTTGTCATTCCTCAAATGCATCAATATCTCAATTTTCCTTTACTTACACTCATCTTCCCCTGCATAATTGTCTGATGAACCATCTATCAGTCTGACAGTACTGGCTATTGACTAAAGATGATGTCTCGGGGTGAACTCAGAGGAGTGCAGCTGGGAATGATGCTGCTTATTGACCCTTATATCCCAGCTCCCTTGTCTTGTCTTCCTGTGAATACCACATAAATGGAAGAGGTGTATTTCTAGTTTTCTTAAACTGAAATTTTTTCTCGGAAGGGAGCATGCCCAAGGAGTATTTAGTGGAATGTGGAAGGAAATGATAGTACCCTTATTAGCCTACACTAACATAGTGTGGCACTGAAAGCAAGAAATATGCTGATTAGGAGTCCTGGCGGAAGTAGTAGTGAGGCTATAGAGAGGATGGGAATATGCCTTTCATTCTCCGTTAAAATGAGCAGTTCATTAGGGAGAAAGTCCTGACGGGCAACAGTTGCCTACCGTCCTTATAGGAGATATCTGTTCTTGAAGATTCCCCTTATGTCAAGCATCACCAGAACTGTTCTATAGCAGGCACTGAAAGGTAGATATGAACCCAGCTCTACGATTTGCTGATTTCCTCTTTCCTATGCTACTCTTTTAGATGGAGTCTTGGAGATGGTAGCACTGCTAATTAGTGCCAACTGCTGCAGAATTCCAAGTTGATTAGTGGCCTTCCAATAACAGAAATCACTTAAAGGGGGCTTATTGGGTCTGGGGCAGGAGAGGGATGTTCCTGACCTCTAGATCCTATTCCTTTAGCATTGGAAATGTCAGGATGGTGACTGTGGCCTCTTTCATCCTGCAGTCTTGTCTTTGGGACCCTATCATCTGCCATCCCATCATGAAATCTGGTATTATAAACTAGGGATATGAATGACTAGTTGCTTCCCCCCGCCACCTTGCTGTCTGTATCAGAAAGAGGCAGCAAGCGGGAGGTGGGGGGGTGGGAGAAGAGGAAGGGGTACTTCAAAGTGGCAGTATTGCATGGAGCCTGGGGCCAGACCCTGGGTTTCATGCAGTGCTGCTGCTTTGAAACACCACATGCAGCCCAGGGCCAGCTGGAGTGTCCCCTGGCTGTACGTGACGTTTCAAAGCAGCAGTGCCGCATGGAGCCCAGGGTCAGCAGAGGAGTTCTCAGCTGACTCCAGGCTTCATGCAGCCCTGATGCTTTGAAATGCAATGTGCAGCCTGACGCTGGGCTCCCCGTGGCATTTCAAAGTGGCAGCGCTACATGGAGCCCACAGTCAGTCCCTAGCTGATCCCAGGCTTCACACGGTGCTGCCGCTTTGAATGGCCGTGGTTAGCACAAGGCTAGCAGGAGACTGCCCCGCTGGCCCCATGTTCTCTGCAGTGCTTTCGCCTTTGAAACGTAACAGCCTTGGGACTATTGCTACGCTTCAAAGGTGAAGGTGCCCTATTGACTAATTAATCGAACAATCAATGAGTCAATTACTTGAAATTTAACATCCCTATTATGAACTGGGTGTAATTTGTGGAAGTAACGTATATCCTAAATTAAAACAAACAAACAAACATAGTAAGAGGGCCAAGAAGGTGTCACCGTGGCCAGACTACACAAGAAACATTGGGGAGGAGGGGGGAGGGAAGCATCCTTTAAAAGGAAAATAAAAAGGAGCATAAATTCTGTGAAGTATAAATATAATTAGGCAAGCCACACAATAATGTGAAGAGCTACTAGCAAAAGTAACACACTGTGTGTGTGTGTGTGTGTGTGTGTATACACACACACACACACACACACACACACACACACACTTAAAAAAAAAAATATCAGAAGTGGGAACCCTGCCAAAATCAGTGTGGTCACTGGGCAGTCAAGGAAAATAAAAACTTTGTGGAGAAGCGAAATAAATTCTTTGCATTTGTCTTCACTGCACAGGACGTGAGGAATTGTCTCCCACCTGAGCCATTCTTTTTAGGTCATATATCT